AATAACTTATTAACTGAGCTCGAAACTAGGAACGAGCATTATTAATAAAAGTAATTAGTTCAAACTTAGAACTAAAATAATTACTTTTATTAATTACTAAATGGGTTATTACACATGTTATACTTCATAGCATAATACGATGGTAGGTATACATGATGTTGACCTTCAGTATACAAAATATTGAAATCTTTCTTTTTAGACTTTCTACATTATCATTGTCATGTATCATATGTGTGAATGGGGATTCCATAAAATATTTTTCCAAGGAAATTAACTTACGATTGGTGCCACATTTTTTTTTTATCTTAATTTATTTCATTGCTGTTTGTGGAAATTGAAACCTCTTAGAACTGTAATTAGAGTTTAAGAAAGTCAAGAGCCATGTGTAGTATGTTTCTGGCCTTATTCTTTTGTGTTTATTTTCATGTTATTTGCCTTGGTTATAAGTGTTATCTTGAGGCTGTTACTACATGTTTGTTTTCTACCTAAGTTTTAGAGTTTAAGACCAGTCTTATTTGGCCTTATTTGAGTTAGAAAAGATGTGAGAAAATTTTCAAATAATTTTCTGAGTAGTGAGATAATTTATTGATGGTATTTATCTCATTAAATTTTAGGTATTTGAGGAGTCGAGTCCTCGACCTACGTTTCTACTATTTGTGTGCTTTGTCTACCTCGTCAACCAGGTGGGTTTTATTTGAAAAGTTTCTATGCATTAATTAATTGTTATTGTTGTGGTATGATCAAAGTATGCATGTGAACCATGTAGCCTTCGATGTGAGCTATATTGGCCGTCGAACGGTTATCCCCGTAGCTATAGAACGTACACGATGGGTGTCTCCTTTATTTATGTATGGCAGTCAGGGCGTGAGCCTTGGCTGGTGATCCTCGATGTAAGTCCGAAGGAATGTTTCCAGGCATTCGGGGTGGATTTACTCCTACTGTCTGGGCATCGAATGTAAGGCCCGCGGGGGTTTTCGATACGTGTATCAGCAGTGGTCTATTGGTATAGGTGTGCACA